GGTTCTCGCGTCAGACGCACATTGCGTGGGGGGTTTTGAGAATCGATGCGGTGAAACTGTTCCCATCTCTGAAAGTTCTATTGACATATAAGAAAATTTCCCCGCGTTTGTTATTTCCTTTTCAGTTTTTCGTTCTTACTTCATAAGAACAACTGAGGTCTGGTAACGCAAAAGTGAATACATCATGTTACAGTACGGAAGGAACACGAGTTATCAGTTTTTATATCTACTGTAACACGTGGTGTAGCCAGAATCCGTGTTTTGAGTCTTTGGTACAGAAAAACCCACTGACGGCTACACGAGTCTCCGTCTGATCGTGTGTGGTGAGCGCCAGCGCCTCATCCAAAATTGATATTCCGTAATCGATCTGCACGAACTCGAGGCCTCGGGAGTTCCAAACGGATATTTTGATTTGATTCTCATGAAGTCTCCACATTTTCAAAATTTTCTCAAAAATGGCACCAACGTTTTTGATTAGAGTTTGTTCTCTGATATCATAACGAGAATGGTGCAGGTCTCACGGTCGTCAAAATCCTTGATTTTTCGTAAATTGTAATTTTTATTCCGCTTCTTCCTACAACTACATTAAAGATACATATTTTGTCTTTAATGAAGTATGTTCTTTAAAGGCAAAACTTGAAATAAAGTCTTTTAAAAGTTTTCGAAAATACGAGTAGTTTTCGCGTAATTTTGTTGCGAAATATTTGAATTTTCTGCACAACTTTTTCTCTAAAACTACCAATAAAAAATGTTTACCAAATTGTTAAATGTTCTCCTCGTATGTATTCAAGGTAAAAATACACTATGGATTTCGAAAATTGGAATAAAATTCGAAATGATAAATTCGAATTTCCCACGCGGTGTCACTCCAATTGTAGTGCAATTTGATACGTGATTGGAGGCAGTCATTCAAATCTTGAAAAGGAAGATTAGTTTAACATTATTGAAGCATTAATCTCTTTTAAACTGCGTCATGTCGTTGTGAAAACGAATGGATCATTTCGCTTTGCATCGTAAGGTGCGGGGATCGCGAGAAATTCGTGCAAAAACGAGTAGCTTTAATGACTATAACAATATATTTAATTATTTTACTTTTCAATCCGTTTGCATTTTGTTGTTAGCGGTATCCAGAATGATAGTTTGTAAAATATGTATGCCATGCAAATGAGCGATGATAATTTTATTTACGGCTAAAATATGCATAGCACATCGTTCGTACATTTATGCAGAACGTGATTTCACTGACGGCATTGGTAAAAAGCTGTTTTCGTTTTAAAGTTTTAATTTCAAAAAATATATATTTTTTAAAAGATTGAAAAATGTAATTTTTTTTGCGCACCGTTGGTTTTAGAATCTTTTTAATTGGTAGTTGAAGTGTAAGACAAATTGTCATATTGTAATATGACACAACCATTAACAATATCGCGAGAAAGTGTGTGCTGTTGTTGCCCACACACAATTCCAATTTCGTTCAGGCAAAGATTCTTTTACATATTGGAACTGTCTCGGTTATCTCATTCACAAAAGAAACAAGGATATTTGGTATAACCTAGCCGCAATCCAAATATTAAGGTGATGATTTTTAAATACCCACTTGTATGCCACTTGCGTTCAGCACAGTGAATTGCTGTAAGCATATGCTCCAATACATCATAAGACTCTTTTGTCATAGTGGCAACAGATGGGAAGAGAGGACATTGCATTGCAATTGTGCAACATAACACTTCTGAGAATGTTTTTGATGTATTAATAAATTCCATTGTTTTGGGACCTAACTGAATCCCACTGCTCCCATCAAACCTACACACATCATTGCAGAAAGTTAATTTGCGATCATAGTATTTAAAATAACTCACAAACTTCACTTCTGTTTCTATCCACAGTAAGAATTGCAACAATTCCATTCTTGAAGTCTGGAACCCAACAGCTCTGATTTTCACTTAAGCCCAGATCACGAACGAAGTTATTTAGCTTTCCCCGTGTTGCAAGCTGTGGGGTTGAATGGGCTTCTAGGAAGAATCTTTTCTTTCTTAAGACAATCGTGAAGGCGAGGAGTCCCCAAATAAATTTATAGACAGAAAATACATAAACTTTCATTATTTTGTATTATATTTGGAGTCTCGCCATGATTTTCTACAATTTTGGGAATTGTTTGTTCCCATCATCACGATAAAAATTTTTAAAAAAAGTTAGGACATTAAAAGCATAATCACTAAAATGTTAGAAGTTTTCATCAGAAAAATTTTAAGACTATTTTTTAAGGAAGTTTTTTTAAAATATTAGTGCCCAGTGTTACCATCTGGTAACGAAAATACTCCCAGAAACTGTAGCAAATCATAGTGAGACTCATTATATAATATAAAATAAAGTTTATGCATTGTCTTCCTATAAAGTTATTTGGGGACTTCTCACCTTCAAGATAGTCTTAAAAATTCTTAAAAAAGGCAGGCTAATTAAAATATTTGAAGACGGATCTTTTTTACCGGGGACGAATCACTACTCTCACGTGCGAAAGTTCGTCAGTCTCACCACGTACATTCTGATATGGCGGTGACGGCACAAAAAGTGTTTGGGAGTGCGCAACTGGCCTCGTGGCCGAGGCAAATTTGGATGGTCAATGGACATCTTTGGTTTGCGATTAGTGAAGCCCTGCGTATTTGTTACTGCTGTTCTTTGAGCTCTCTCCATATCATAGGCTCAGCTAACGTCATAGAACTACCTTTGCCCGTCCCCCAGTTGATTAAATTTCACGAACGTGGAACAAAAATGAGCCCGTGTCTTCTCTTGATTTTGTATTTCACAACAAAAGTAGTGTTGCAGGCCCTCCGAACAATAGGAGCCTTCATCAACTTCTTGAAAAAGTAAATTCTCCCCAAATATAGCAGAATTGTTTTTCTTCCTTCTTTTTATTGTTTTAATTAATATAGTAGAAATTGCTTGATTTCTACATTGGGTGGGGTATTTTCTGAGAAACAAAAACACGTTAATGATAAAACGAAGAAAATTGCAAACGCTGACACTTTAACTCTGGTTTTCTTACATACGCTAAGCTCCGTTTTCAATTGAAGTTGTAATTACACTAATTTAATTGGAAGGTACTATGCCCACAAATTCAATACCAGTTAACGTTAATACAAAACGCTTACCTACCTATTAATCTGAAAATTTCATTTGAGTGTACAGTAAGTCAGAATTCTTATACAGGCAAGAAAACATTTAAATGGAATATCTATCTATTTTATTTTATTTATTTTCTGTTTCAGCACACGATACCATGTTGAAGCATTTCAGAACGTTCTTTGGCTACGATCTTAGGACGGGATGTCAAGTGATTGCAGTCACCTCTGCCGTAAGTGCCCTGAAAGTGTCAATAAGCAATTGTGAGCAATTACATTTAAGGCCAGTTCTGTGAAAGTTATAATTTACGTGTTTTGTGAAAAATGCTATGATTGATTTTTTTGTTAATAATGTGAAATGTTTGTAGTACATATTTTTCTCGCTCGTGATTGATAATGCGTAATATTGATTATATTGTTATTTACACGAGCGTTTATGTAATGCTTAATTTCGTATTCTAAAAAAAATTTATATTTTTCATTCGTTTTCTCGCAAAATACGAAAATCCGGTTAGAACAAATAAAGAACTTGTGTTGTAGTCGGTTTGAAATAATTTCTGTTCACGCATAAAAGGTGAAAATAACTCATGTGGCGCCTAATCTCAAATAGAAACAACTATAACGTATCTTTTATCTTTTATTTATGTATTTATTTATTTGGGCAAAAACAGTAAAAATGTATGTGACGTATTGGGGAGAAGATCATCTGCGCACGTTTTCTTGAGTTCCAGAATCCCTTTCCATCATTTTTACTACAAATAGTTGAAGGATGTGTAAAAGTTGAAGATAAATAAATAAAAATAAAATTTTAAAAAGCGCGAGACTAGCAACATTTGAAAAACTAGACATTTTCGTCCCGAGTTATAGGAAACATTTGCAGCGGTAAACAAACTGCAGGTTTGAGTTTTCTGCATTGCTAACAAAACAGTAACTCATCCTTACCTCTGCTCTTATCACTATAAACAAAAGAAGAATTCAACAAAACGTGCGCATAGTGAATCTACATTTACGTCCAGAAGCAAAACAAGGGGCCATCAGCATTTGCTCACTGGATTAGGGAAATTGGGCATTATTTGTTACAAGCACATGAAGTATTTAAACAATTATACAATTCAAACCTAAACTAATTCATTATACATCACTATTTTGTTAAAGTAAACTATTTTTCTTTTCGATGATCAATATAGTCTCTAATTGTATAGAAACAGTTATACAGCAGAAAATATTTTACTTTTAACTTAAATCTGGGTACCTATTACAATTGTTTATCGTCTGGCAATACGTTGTAAAGTAACGTACATGTATTGCATCTGAATTTCAGGTAGTGAGCTATTGATACAGATACTTGATGAATGTGATTTCTACGACAAGTGTTGTAATTATACATATCAGTATTGCGTGAAAATTTGCTCCCACCGTTAAGTAAGTAAGTAAGTCAGATTTAACAAATAGAATCGTAAATAAATAGGCAAGGCAATGGTAAGATTCCAAGCTCAATGAAGAGAAGTTTTTATGGATCACGCGGACGGCATTTTTTCATTATTCGAATAATTTTCTTTTGCAATCTAAAAGTCTGGGTGCTACATTAGGAGCTTTCCCAGCTTGATATTATACCATATCTCAGGCGAGAATGCATATTTGCAAAATACTCGCAACGAGCAACATGACCACTCGTTGCTCGTTGCAAGGGTCTCCTTCATTGGTATAAATTAAGAGAAAATGGCGTGCATTTCAAACGTGGCGCCTCAAAAATAGTTTTTAATTTCCCCCAAATCCCTCGAATTTTAGTGCAGAGATAAAACAAAATGAAAAACAAGGAATAACCGCTCGACCTGCTTCGCGAACGGACATCAGAGCGCAGCACCTGGCCCGGCCAGGCCGACGCCAGCCACGACATTGTCGCTTTCCAAGTAAAATATCTGTTTTTCAATTCTTAAGACGCCGTTAGGTCCCATTGTTACAAATCAGCCGGACTAGCTGCACCGGGATCGATGTGGGGCGATCAACCTGACTGATATCGCGGCCCCTTGAAGTTTAAATGAATATTTTGATTTTTGGACATACTTTTCATGAAGCCTACAAGTCTTCAAAATTTTCACAACGTGGCTCCAAATTTTCTCCTTAAACTGTTCCTCTGATAGAAGAAAACGTGGATGAAATATAGCTTAGGTCGCATTTTTGTTGCACTCCCTGTAAATTGTCAAAAAATCCAAAAATTTCAAAACTTCGACTTTTTTTACTTAAGCAGTTCTATTTTTTGGAAAGGGTGGCAATGACGTCATCTCCTATATGTGTTTTGTAGAATATCGAATTTCTGGAAGCTAAACACTCGTAGTTTAAATTTTATAATTACAAAAATATTGAAGTTCTAATAAAATTTGACTCTCTTCTGACTAGGTTTTTCCGATTTTCAGAACGAGCCCAAAATTGTGTTACATCTTATTTGTCAATATGTATTTAAAAAGCAATTGGATCATATTGTACAATTGCTGAGTGTCTTGGGGTTTATTTGCATAAGAGTAAAAAAGTAATTTTGGAAAGGAGCCCAAACTTCTTTTTAGGCATTGGCGTAATTCTCTCTTAGCCTCTCTATTTTTAGGCATTGACGTAATTGCCTCTTATAATATTTTATATAATATTGGATGGTCGCAAACGAAAGTCATGTAGTTTAAATTTTATAATTACGGAAATATTCAAGTTCGGATAAAATTTGGCTCAGCTGTTCCTCCCTCAGTGGATAGTTTTCTGAACATTTCTGTCAACGCAGACAGGGCTAACCATATGCTGACAGATTTACCAGAGATTTTTGACGTTTCCTGTGTTATTGTCAGCAATATTATTACGCTCCATTTATGTTCAGCTTAAAATTCTTGTTATAAAAATTATCTGTCTTGTATACTACTTTTTCATATCCTTCTAAAATAGTAAAACTTTCTGAAGCTGTCTTTACTAAACTATAACTACATTACAGGAGATCTACAAAGACGTTATTAGAAATGTATTAATGGTCCTAGAACTGCACACTGGGATCTGATGGACCCCATCAATATTAAAATTCACACCGAGTGGAAGTTTCGGACGCCAGCCACGTAGCGCTTTACGTAGATTTGAATTACAAAGATAACTTGCCCTTATGCCAATTAGCCACGGTGGGTGCCAATACTTCGCCGAAAACAAATGCTAAATCGTCGGTGTTGCAACTAGGGCTTATGGGAAGAATAGAAGATCTATTCTTCCTATAATGCTTTTCCGATATGACAATGGGAATTCTTAACATTTTTGTTACATTTTGTTGTGTGTTTGTAATTGTATTGTTCAAATATGAAGGAAGTAAATATTGCTTTTTAATTTTCCATTTTGTGTTTTTTTTCTTGTTTTCATGCATTCTTAAATAAAAATAAAATTCAATAACACACTGTTGAATCATACATAATTTTCTGAATCTTTGGGGTCCGTAAGGCCCCAGCTTGCAGCTTATGTAACAGAAAAGTGTGCAGTTAGAGGGTTACTGATCTTCCAAGGGCTATTGGACTAATGAAATCGGTAGAATAAAGCAAGTAGTGTCGTTATTCGTTTAAGATGTACTTTAATACACAATGAAGTATTAACATCAAGCTTCCGTATTTTAGATCTTCTCAATGTGTTTGGCTACATTTTTCTTCTATGTAATGGTCAATGGACTAACCAATGTGCAGAATCCAGACTTCAACAACTATGGAAGTGTTCACAGTAAGTTGTACACACATTTATTCTTTAAATGGTTTCTGGGTTTATTGATTCATTGATGTTTCCGAGCGTGTCAACTACGAAGGAATTAGTCCCGTAAGAGTAGTGCATGTTTTATGTCACTATTTAGACTTGCTCGGGTTTTCACATTTTGGTAATGCAGTTTTGTGTAATGATCAGTCTGAATTTGAAATATTCGTAAATGTTCTTCATAATTTTCACTGCTAATGTATGTTCACTAGTTTCATTATCAATTTTATGTTTATTGTTATTATTTATTGTTATTATTATTATAAAATGAGTAAGACTTGTGTAGGTTTTTACAAAAAACTGTTCTCAATTTTTTTATAATCAACTGTTTATTCATTATTTGTTCCCTACATGACCATTCGGTGAATTATTTTTATTATTATTTTATTAATTATCTTGAGTGAAGAGTTGTCCTGTGACAGATCTTCTCAGATATGAAATGAATTATTTAACTAAGTCTAGTGATTCTCAATCAATGAACACTCAATAAATGAGTGATCGTAGTTTATATAATTGATCAAATAATTGAACATAATAAAATATTGAGTGCTTTGGTTAGGGTTCAAATATCTAACAACACTTTTCTTGTGAATAAAAACTTATGTGTGCTAACATAAATTACATTTGCTAAATTGAAACTAATAAAAGCATGTGTAAATGTTTCAAATGCACTCTCAAAGATGATCTTTTTAGTTAGTTGGGATTTTGTTACTCAATGGAACTGTCATTTGGATTTCTGTCTTCTCTTTACAGCGTAAATTCATTTTGATATCTTTTCTCATATGTTTGTTTCAGCTTTTGCAAGTTTTAGTGCCGTTTTAGGAGTAAAGCAGATAACGCATCTTATCTTCTGCTTTATGTTGTTCACCGGTTCAAGATCGGTAAGTGCGCATTCGTTGGTTCTTATTCCATGAACAGTGTCTGCATCCGATTTTGTTCTCAATTATATCTGAGGGTGATATTTAATGAAAGTTTTTTGACTTCAGCTGAAACTACTATTTTTCTGGTAATATTTTTTTGTATCTTGGAAAACATTTTCAACAAAAAAAAGGAAGGGTTGAGGATGGTTTGCAAAACTTGGATATAGGTAATTCCTCATGAAATCGGCCGAACAAGTATGACCTCTTCCGATTTCTCTAAAAAATGTTAAGAGCATCCTATTTAGTATATATGTTTGACCTTTGACCTTGTTTTTAATTATACCCAACATTAGTCAAGTATCTGAGTATTTTGGACAAACTTCAGAAAAATTTGAAATCTCACTTGAAAATACATTCTAATAAAAAAAAATATTTCTCTTAATAGTAAATTGTTCAAAGAAAAGGTTTTTTTTGCAGTGAGCTTCATATCATTTGCATTTAATACCAATGTTTTTACTCACGAATTTAAAAGTGTAGTTTTTTCAAATCAAAATTCCCAAAAGATGTAATCTTTGATATTCGAGTTTTTTGACACAATGTTGTAAAAACTCTATACTTTCTCAGAAAAAAATTGCATGTGAAACTGGAAATTTAATATCAGATTGCTTTTTTTCAAACATTCCATTTTTTAAATAGTGTCCATCTTTTTCAGAAAACATATGAATCTACATTTCTAGATCAACCTTTATTGATTATTAATTGATGTAACAGTAATGCTAAACATAAATTATGTAAATATTACCTTAATTTACATTTGTTAAGGTTTGTAGATAAAAAATTAATGGTAATCTGTACATTTACATCACAGTTAACGTTCTGAAATTTCAGATTGCGATCAAAGCATATAATATTTTATTTGTTCTTCTCGAAAATCATTTAAAAATGTTAGGTATTCGAAAATCAATACAAAAGTAAATGAAACTAATAGATCTCTGTACTAATAGATTGGCTCTTTACCTTACCCATATGTTTAATGGTAACATGCATTCTTGAATGCGGGTTTGAATGCATGACAGACGTAAACAAAATTTATCGGGAAGGCTGGACGGCGTGAAGCAGGCACGTGAAGGTCACAGGTTGACTTAATTATCCCAATAAAATCAAAACCACGTAACCAAATGTGGTTATATGGCAACTAAACTTATATGGAATCAGAGGAACTCGATATCACTGAGGTTCTTTGGAGGAGCTGACTATTAACTCCAAATTGGTCTAATTAAGTTGATATTTATTCAGCATTACTCTTTTTCGTAGTTAAATTATTAACAATAGTAAAATAGAACCTACATTACAATATTTTGTTACACGATATGTGATTTTGATTTGATTTATTTAATCAAAGATTGACAATCCATTCTCTATTTAACCATGTCAATTTTGACAATTTTTTCTTTAATGTAATTCATAGAGATCAATTGACAATTTATTAAAAATTCTCAAGAATGTAATGTAACTACATCTTTTCACAAATGTGTAATAATTTTTTTTATTTTTAGTATTCTTTTCGAGTGAATAATGTAAAGTTTGTTCAAGTCATTGAAACCACTCTGATACTCTTGTACAGAATGTCAATTCGCTATATTAGGGTAAGACTAACGTAGCTAAATAAACATAATATTCGGAGTCGGACAAATATGATACATTTTACATTCCTTTGACTCTAAAAAGATAACTAAATTTTGTAGATATGTCAAGGCTATACCAACATATATAGTGATAAGTTTTTTTTGCTCCTGGGATGCAGAAATAAGTTCTGATCTGATAGTGGCAAATGCAAATTGCAAGTTGTAGTTACGTCAGTCTGACCGCATACTAAGTGGTGTTGGTCTGACCCTAAGGTCGCGAATTATAGTTTATGATTCAGTAGGCTGTTCTTTGCCTTTAAGGAATCTTTTCAGTGTCCTAATTGTAATTTGGGAATTTGTTATTTTGCAGGACAATGTCTATGGCATCCGGAGTTGGCTGAAATCCAACGTGATAGGGCTCTGCATGCTGTTTGTACTAGGTTTATACTGCAACGTCCTGCTCTTTGTTGGTGGCTCTACAGGCCTTGCCATAACCTGCGTTCTCATGTTGCTGTTATCTATGTGTAAGTAGCCTTCATCTATCTTGGAGGTTTTGAGCATTTTACTACATAAGCCAAACAATTTAAAACTAGTGCTGCTAAAACACAATACCAACTGCATTCCACATACTTCAAAGTGGAAGCAAACATGGCTGCAGAGGAATCCCAAACCATTTTCTCTATCCACGTTAGTATTTAGTACTAAGATCTTTTCTGTACTATTAATTAATAATTTTTCCCTTTTGGTGTGAGGCACACTGATTTATGTATAATTAAGTTTGCAAGGTGGCTTACCAAATTGTCAAGTTTTTCTTGAGACTGCATGCCTCAGACTTGAAGATCCATGAAACCTTTATGTTTGCAGGCACAGTTAACTTATTTATATTACTAATTTTTCAAACATTGACGATCGTCTTGGAATCGGAGTTCAGAATCATGATATTTGGTCACATAAGTTTTAAAATTAAAGTATTCAAGTGTACCTACATTTTGAAGTAAATAATTGCACCATCAGGGCTGTAGAAACTAAAAAAAGCAACACTTTCAATATTGATGTAAACATACTCCTACATAATTACTTTATACACAGTACCCCCAGTAGGTGTTCTATGTTTGACCTCTTTTCATACTTTATTTTTCCCCCTTCTGTTTTGTATTTATAAACTTGTTTAAAATAAGCAACTAAATATTGTCTATTAAAAAAATAATTTTTTCTCATGATCTGAAATTAATTTGGAAGGGAAAAAAGAAGGTCAAAGATACAACACTGTTGTACCTTTCTACACTTCACACAAATTATAATAATAAGTTAACTCAAACTTATTTTTTTAATTAAACTAATTTTTAACAATGTAATGTGCTTGTATGATGAATACCAGAAAGAAAGATTACAGAAACTGTGAAAAAGGACTAAATAGAACAAAGAACTTGAAAATACAAATCGTGCAAATTTGAAGCTAATTTTAAAATAATTAAATTCTCTAAATTATAGTTTAAATAAATTATAATGCAATCACTTATACAAAACAGAAGTCTATTGAGGAATACAGAATTAAAAAATTAGCTATTCAACACTGTAATGAGATAGATCGACACTAAATAAAGAATGGTGTTGCAGACAAACTGATTCACCGGCCTGCGATGAATTTTGAAGATTGAACACAATATTGTCTTTATCTATATCATACAAATTGTCATTTACCCTGGGAAACATTTGTGATATTTAATTTCTTTAAATCATTTTTATTTATCATTTCTGTAAATATTTTATTTCAAAAATATTTTCAATCTAACTCTTAAAATGTTTGTAACATAATGTTTAAGTTTTTTTGCCACACAACTTTGTGAGAATCAAATCACCTTTGCTTCTAGGCATCTTCTCCATCTCTCTAAAGTAATAAAATAATAAATAAATAACCTGGAGGGAAGTAACCATAGGATCAGTTGTACCTTTATCTGGTCGAAGGTACAACATACGCTCACTTTTCTCAAAATCAAGCATGTTGAATATTAGTTTAATTTTTTTGCAAGTTTAATACTGTATATTTTATCTGGAATGTCTGTCTTTTGGTAGTTTTTATTATGACATTTTGATAGAAACAATATAATTGAAGTTACGACAGAATAATCCCAAAAAAATAACTTTAACTGTTGCAAACAGTTTTCTTTTTCATACACAACACTAATGAAGCTTATCAAATAATGATAAAACTTAAAGCAACTCTGGGGATAGAAATTTTAACGTCTCAAATTTATCAGTAATATGCACTCGGGCAAGGAGTGGTTTAAGGTCAAAGGTGTACATCACCTTCCCCTATAATTTTATTTAAATGGAAGAAATAGAAAAATTACCAAACTTTTACATTAAAACAGTACAAATTTTATGGCAACATCTCTCAACCACACCACCACTTCTGTTGTGCACCACAGCGAGGGTTCATTTGTGATGGTTATACTGTATGGCTTCCATTTACAGAAATTGCAATAATTTTTTAAAAAAAATTATATCTAATGTATTACCATTCACACTGTGCACTTCTAAAAGTCTAAATATGGCTGTAACAAGTATAATACCTCAACTTCTGGGTCAATGATATCAATCAGATTTGCCGTTCCGTTTCCCTGATCCTTAGAGCGAATGCAGATATGGCTGCTTGTTTTATTTTTGAAAATACATGTAGCTTCACTATCTGTGCACGTTTTCTGTAGCCTTTCAGGAACATTGATATTCAAATAATTATTTTCTATTTTATGGCGGCAGTAAGTCAATTCCTTCACATAAAGCGCTAGGGATAATTGGAGCTTAACTCCACAGCAGATTTGGCATTGCAAATAGTTTTCATTGCACGAGAGCAAATATTTTCATATGCTACTTCTCTGTAGTAGTGGAAGAGGTGGTTCAGGGTATCAACTGATGCCACTACAGTGCTTCTGCTTTGGAGGCCCTAGGTTCGATTCCTAAAGGAAGAAGGATTTTGGACAGTAGCTTAATAGCTAGGTCACATTCAGTCGCCATTTGGAGAAGATTACTAGAGGACGGCTGCTCTGATCAGAAGTTTTCCGTGTTGTCTCCGATCAACATCGGGCAATTGCCGGAGCAGTTCCCTAACTAATGGGCCTCGGACAGCGCGCGTTCTTTCCTTCCTCTTGCTTGTCCTATCCTCACCCTTTTCTTGCACACACTTACACTTACATGCACTACACTACCAGGCATGCCGGGAGACCGGCATGCTCATAATATTCGTAGGATATTAATAAAGCGTTAATGAATACATGGTGGCAAAATCTCTACAGGATGTTTCATACTTCAGGATTTATGCATAAAACAATAGAAAATATATTGTAAAAATTTTGACTTTTACTTAAAATGTTCTATAAATTACAAAAACCATTCCAAATATTTAAATATGGCATCAATTATTTAAAACACTTCCTTGCAGCTGCTCTTAAAATTCCATAGCCCTAGTGTACAGAGTTTCTTAGATAATGTGTCAACTGCACAGCCAGATTAACACGGGGGAGATGGGGCGCGCGCCTGTTGCAGCGGGGAAGATCTACTTCGGGCTGGTGGTGAACAGCCACCACGCGACGCTGGCGCCCGACCACGTGTGGGGCTCTGCGATGCGCGTGGGCGACAGCGCCCCGCGCCGCACCTGCCGCTCCGTGCCCCCGCTGCACGTGCAGCAGCCCACGGCCGTCCTCGTCGCCGCCTGAGCCGCGGCTACCCCCGAGGGAGGCCCGAACGCAGAAGCGCAAGCTTACTTGCTTCACTGTGTAGCCCTCAACAAGCGTCTCTCGCAGATGACACAAAAAAACATTATAAATTGTAAACAATATTTTTTTAATATTTATTAAATGTTTGTGACTGCTTAATGTACATTATTACATTATTCACTGCTGCTGCTTCTCTTCGCATTTCAATATCTGTTGTCCGAGACTGAACACTTTTGTCAAATAGCGTGGTAAGCCACGTAACCCTGTACGAACTGCATCAGAATCTGGCATTGGTTTGCGTGTAGGCCTTTTTACTACTATTCCTCAGACGAGTCCTTGTACCTTTCTTCTCGTGCCTTACACGCGAAAATGTTTGAAGACAGCTGGTGAAATAGAAGACTCAGTTTGCATGGATGTCTCTAATTCGGGTGTTGTTGGAAACCTGAACACGGGGATAAATTGGTCTTGATATGTTGAAACATGATTGCTTCATCATTTAGAAAACACAGCACTTAGGAACCTTCTGTAAGTATGGATATGCATACATTCTTATTGAATCGGCTATTAAAATAAAGTTCAAATATCAAGAAATGTTATCACAAGAACAAACTTCTGTGGAACTTTTTAATACTTTTGGCAGTTTTTTAGGAAGACCGACAAAAATTAATGTAAATGGTGCTCACATTTTACTTTCCAACTGGCACTCCAATTTTCTTTACCAACACGTTAATAACTCTACAACAGATCAAAAAAGTAATTCATACAAAACGTGAACAATATGAGGTAATATACGATTTATTTCAACACACAAAGTAAATACAGGTTTTTCTCAAACTTATGTTATAAATGCTTACATTGAAATGTGCAATTTGAATAACATTTTAAATATTCGTAGTGACGGCAAATTCTTTGCGAAACATTACGAAGACCCACCCGGTTACGCCAAACTGCACCGGCCAACGCACCCCCCGCGTGCCCTGCGGAGCGAAGAGATCGGCTCAAAGTCCTCGTCAAAGCTCAACCTCCACTCTCGGAGGCCATGGTCAACCTATGACGCAAGCCACGGAGTCTGTTAGGACGACACTCCTAAGCCCGGGGAGCACGGTGCCGTTTTTTAAACTCTTTGTTGTTGTGGCGTCTGTATAGACGCAACATGTCTCCTAGGTCCTTAAGGAGCGTCGAGCGCGCTGTGGAGTAATCCTCCGTTAACATTTACAATTTGTAATTGGAGTAATCCTCCGTTATTAAGCGCCCTCTAGGGGCCGCTGTGTAATAGTCAAGTCACGCCAGTTGCAGTCAAATCAGGGAAACGCCGACAGGTAGCGTCTTCGCGCTCGCGTCTCGCACGCGCCCTGCGTCATTGCGGCAATTTGCACGAAGAACTCTGCCGTGTGGGCCGGGCTTTAGAAAGGTTTCAAGAGTTGGCTCAACGCGCTAGAATGGAGTGGCTGTCCCTATAGTTTCAATGCCCTTGGTGAAGGCTCGCCGAACTAGTGGCCATCATGTTTTTTCGAAGACAACACGTACGAGTGGTGGCGTAACCATCCGTAACATAATGCTACACTGCCATTTTTGCAACTCTGCCTCTGGCAGTTATCAGCTGGTGACAGTTTCATCCAATCGGGAGCGTAAACGCCACCATAGTGACGTCACTATTGTGACGTTGACGCTCCCGATTGTATGAAACTGTGAACACCTGAGACCTGCCAGGGGCAGAGTTGCATAAATCGCAGTATAGAATACTTTGTTTCTCAGAGGGCTGTGCCTTGACAGCAAAATAAAACAAAAATACACACATGCCTTCAATTGGCTGTAGTACGTGCTATGTAGTATATTATAGGTAGTTGACCCTACATCTGAACAGGAAGGGTCTTTCGATATTTATTTCGCACACTAGTATCAACATAGCAAATATAAATATTTTACTACCAACATTTTCTATTAGTTTGAAGGGAAGCCACAAGGTTTATTATCCTGGTATGTAGGCAAATGTGCAAAGTTTTCAGCTTTAGGAACTGAATGTGGAGTAATATTAATTTTGGAAATTTCTTATACTGAATACAATTTGTTAAATTTATTTTTTGTCTTTTAAACAATTTTCCAAATTGTTTCCATCTGGAAAATCTAATTTTATTTTTGGTACTCTTGATTATTAATGTACACACTTGCAACCATTGTTATTATGAAAATCAGTTTTGATATTAAAAATCACTTGGTAAACTGTTTGGAATCAAACATCATTAAAAGAATTGTATTTATGAAATACGAGTACCATTTGCAACTAAATTCTTGATCAACCTTCAAGTTCATTGGGTCTTGCATGCAGAGTTTTTTATGATTAACAAATGACAGGTATGTACCAGTTGCATAGTACATCCAAGTTTCTTTTATGTTGGTATACTGAGCAGAAAGGAAAGAGTGAGGGTAATAGGACAAAAAAGTAATTGTTTTCTAACTATTTAAACAGAAATGAAAACAATGTAAAAATAAGAAAATGACATTAAAAACGTCATTATTTCAATTGATGTCTGGAATGTCAGTTACAGGATCTTTTCTAAAAGATGATCCCATTGTTCTTGAAGTGTTCTAATGATATTTTAAACGCTGAAATTGAAAGCTGTTAATGTCCACTAAAATTTTGAATGGTTATTCCAATTCCGTGAAATTGAAACCAGTAGTATTTCAGGCTAAAATTTAGTACACGGTTCAACCTAAGCAAGTCGTCTCAACCGGCACTTCGCGCCGCTCGGGCGAAGGGGAAATCGACGGTGGAGGGGCGAGGAGTGTTGAGGGGAATCTCTCGGTGGGGAGCAATATGCGTAACTTAGTACTTATGTATGAAAAGCAAAGCGTGGGCGGTTTCGCCGAAGGCGTAGACGATTTAATGAAATTGTAAAAATACACTTCTGAAATAATTAAATGGTTCGTAATTGGTCACGAACGTGACGTCAAAAGTTAGGAGGGGAAGGCAATTTCACCGTAGTATCTCGTCGGAGCTTCATTACATGGTGGTGCCTAGTAGAGTTAAAGTGATTTTTTTTCTGTGTCGGGGTAGCTGTCGAAGTGGTTAGCTACTGCTGTCGTACAGTTACGTTTCTTGCGTTCTTCAGATTCTTTGTGATTTGGTTTTTGAGTGTGTGCTACGATGGGGAGATTAAATGTGGCTTTTTTTACGCGTTGCGCCGAAGGGGGCGTTTGGCTGTTATTGAATGAGTGCAAGAACGTGGTTTGATTGCTACAGGATTTAGGAGTCTGTGTGTACGAGTCCGATGAGGTTGGCCAAGCGAAAGGAGTTGTGTGATGGCTTTGAGTGGACGTGTAGCAAGAAAGGGGCCACTCCTCATGAGCGAAAGTGTTCAGTGCGGAAGAGGACATGGTTCGCGGGAAGCAACTTGAGTATGATGCAGGTATTAGTAATGACCTATCTTTGGGTCATGAAAGTACCGTGTGAATTTATTATGAATGAACTGAACGTAAGTAGTAGGACCGTGACCGACTGCATGCGTTTTTGTCGTGAGGTGTGCGTCAGTGCGGCTGGTAGAGAGAGTGAGCCCATTGGAGCGCTGGTGTGGGAGTAGAAATAGATGAGAGCAAGTTTAAGTACCATCGTGGCAAGAGAGTGGTTGGGAAACGGGTGTTTGCGGGTATCGAGCGAAAGACGAAGCGCGCCTTTTTCGAGGTCGTTAAAACACGCAGCAGAGAGGGGCTTCTGGGCGTTATTAAGTCTTTCATTACGCCGGGGTCCATCGTGTTCTCGGACTGTTGGAGTCTTGTATCTGAAGACGAGGGTTTTCAGCATGTTGCTGGCCAGTTCGACAGATACCTGGCAGAATATGTTTGGAGACAACTTCAAAGGGGGCAGAAACCCAACTGAGAGGTTTTTGTCGTTCCTTGAGGGCGCCTCCAAACTCTACGAGCAGTAACAATCGCCAATCGGTAAGTTTTATTCATTTATATCAGAGCGCTTAGCGTAATTTGGGGGAGGGCTTAAGGAGACTTCCCCTCTCCCCTCCCTTCTCCTTTCAGCCGCCACGCTTCTCTAAGGGTGTACCGTATAGTAAACTTTATCAGCATTTAACTATATATAAAAAATGCCCCAGGGCGGTGTAACTCAAAACGTTTATAACTTTTTTATTAGATTATTCTTACCGTTTCTCCCTACTGGCTAATCATAAACTGTGATTCATCTATCTTGGGAAGTGGTATACACAAATCGTTATGTCGATATGCCAAAAACGTTTACGTACTATAACATAATCTTTGATTTTAACTTGCTTTCATTTTAAAAAAAAATGTTGGTGCATTTTGTAACTCTGTTGGTGGTCGTAATTTCATTTGCGGAATAGTTCTATTTTATACCACTCGTTCTCTGAAAATTGTCATCATGTTAATATCAATTTCCAAAGAAATCGTATTATCTAGGCGTAGAAAATGACTTCGACATTACCTAGATAAATGATACCAACATATATAAATGCAAATGGTTTCGCCATTACCTCTTGCATCGTCCATCACGACATACATATTTTCCTATCAGTCAAACTGGTCCTTTCTGAAACTGAGTAACTTCTCTTCATGCAGTCCATACGCTTCGTTTGAAGTGCTTTAAACCTTTCCAACCGATTGCTGAAGCGTTAGTAGGGCAGGAATTGGAGTGTTCTGTGACCGTTCAGTGAACCTTGAAGACACTCGTTCGCGAAGTTCGCGAACGACGTGATATTAGAACCGAGAAGACCACCGGTGCGGTGTGGGGCGTATTTACTCGGTGCGAGGTATTGGAGTAGCTCGTTTCCCAGTAGCCAATCAGGGCGAAGCAAGAATTAAATCACGGAGGCCCATACAAGAACAACCCGGCTATTTGGTAGGGGACGTCACAGAGGACAGATCGAGAGGAGTTTGCGTTATGCCTGTTTGCTACCAACTTTCATATTTTTTTAAAGAAGATGAACTTCTAAACATTCTCCTGTATGAGAGGTAATGACGTTATGGTTTACATTGCACAGCGTGAAAATAAATATATAAGATGTTTACAGATAAAATGTAAGAATTCTGTTAGGTTATAGTAACAATAGGCATTTTTACACATCAGCTTTTTTTATCTTAATCTACATTTCTATTTATCTTGTGAATATAACAGTTAAGTTCGCCACTGTTGCACAACTGGCGACATTCCTCCATCTTACTCCAAAACAGTGTCTGAAGAACGGTCGATCCGAATCGCTGTGACGCCAGGACGTGAACCACGTGGCCTTGGACGAGATCTGTACGCTCGGCCTCCACCTGTGAAGTCGTCGCGGACGAAGCCAGCACGAAGTAAGAGCGTTCTCAACACTTTATGGGGAAATTCACGGACAGGGAAGCAACCGAATACACTATGATTACAAAGAATCTTATAGTTAGGGAGAGAAGTTTCATGCCCTAAAAAAATGCATTTATGACCTAAAAAATTCTCAGATATGCACTTTAATATGCAATTAAAATTATCAATCTTTCGTTTCCTGCATTAAACTTTGTTAATACAATTCAGGAGAAACATGGTTGGAATTGAAAAAGAAAATTTTTTCTACAAACAGAATGTAATCTATCTTACTTCGTGGGAAAAGTAATTGAAGAAAACAGTAAAGTTAGTTAGTAATTGTATGTCTTGTTGCATTTCTTCTGCCTGACTAAAAAAATATAGTATCTTACGAAATTTCTTACAATTCACAAATACCATATTTTATTATCTATAGAAAAGAAAAAACTGCAAACTGTGACACGATTTAGAAATAATTCTCTATTTTAATATGCAAAATGCCCCTATAATTACCCAATTATGAACCATCACGAAAAAGGCCAAATATGCACAAACATATTAAGCATAGAGTAGCATTGCATTCAATTCTAACAAAATGTGGAGAAATTTCACTTAGCTATACCTGAAGCGAAGGGAAAAAATGCAAAATCATAGAAATTCGCCCCTGTTAATAACGGTCGGAGGGGTGTGTAGGTTCAGGGCTTCAAGGTCGCCACAGCAGCCCGGGTTGGTTATAACGGTACTGGAGCTGGGGGGGGGGGTAAGTGAAATTCTAGTCAAATGAATGTTCACAGAAAATAAAACTGCTTCTTGGAGTTCAAAAGGGAAACTCTCTCAATTTCTTGTGCTAAGTTAAGTTATTAGCACTGCTGATATTCTATTTTTTAACAACAGATTCTCTTCAATAACTTATTTGTTTTCAATTTTAATGACAGGAACGGTTCATTAAACTGAAATAACATGCCTCTACGGAAAAATTTTAAAGCAACGTGCTTCTACAGATTAATACGTACAGGAATTTAAGAACTTAGCAATTCTGCCTGAAAGTTACAAAAGAGACGTGTAGTACTGGAATGCCAGGAAAGCCAGATCAGCTGGCGTGTGGCAGAGGGTATACCCAGGTGGTTTGGACTGTCCCTCTAAGGTCAAGAGCGGGAAGGAGAAGGGGACACTCTCATCCAATCGGGAGCTCCAATACGAAAAGTGCGAGTCGTAACGAACTTGGAGATTGGATGACAGAGGAGGGGGCGTGACATCGAAAGGACTTCCTGTTTCGACCTGAGTTAGGCCAATCGTCCCACGAGGGGAGCGCGAGGGGGTCCATGCTCTTGAATGGAAGGGAGGTGCAATTGTAAAGTTACGTAACCGATCCCAATAATGCGAGAAAGTATGTGCTATTGGAGTCCCACTACTTTCTGTTTATAATTGAGCCCAGAAGATGTCAAATTTTAGTTCGACGAAACGTCAGAATTAAAATAATATAACTGATCATGCTGTTTTGACACAATCAATTCTTCCTATTTTACAAATCAATGCATCAGTCAGCACCCTCATCAATTTATATTTACAATTTATAAAAATTCGGAGCATTTTGTTAACATTATTGCAACATCTAGTTTTATAGACCAAATTCTATTAAGGAAAAATGTGAACAATATTGTAGTTTTGAAATAATTTTTTGTTTGCACTTTTTGGAGAAAACTGAATTGTCGAAAATTGCAAAACAGTAATAGGAGTATTACATAGTTCAATGTTAATGATGTGTTTCCTGAAATAATATTTGTTCAAACAATTTGATCTTCAAATAATGTTATGTATTTTTTAAGAACAGTTACTTTCTCGTAATTTAACTAGAAACAATTTCAATTTTTTTAAATCTTAAACTTCTAATACCCTCCTTCAAATTATATCAAATGTACCTAAATTAAAATACCTGAATTTTTGAAAATTGCAAATAGAAATCTTCATCTTTGTTTTTAAGCGTGGGAAAGGTTGCTTTCAGCTGTGAGGTTTGGTTTGTGTTTGGATGTGGGAAATTATTAACGTGTTAACTCTTAAGATAAGATAGAGTTCGAATCCCAGTTCGAAAAAAATGTTGCTTGATGGAAACGTTTTTTTGCAGGTACATGTAATATTATAATATCGCACTGCAATTACAATGTGAGAAAATATGTGCCGTTGTTGTAGCATCATTAGTTTTGCAGGAAGACGGACGTTTTGGTGTCAACCAACTGTTGGGCATCAAGGAACCCTAAAATGTGAATTCTGGTTTTTCAACATATAAAAGAAAATAATACAAGCAGAATTATCCTTCCTTTTGATAGCAGGAACCCTAACACGAGTTTCTTTATTGAAAAATCGCCACATTTTGCTGCGGCTTTACAGTGCTTTCTCTTTGCGTAATTTGTAGGGTGCAGGAAAGTAATAAATTTTAGACGAATGGTTTTAAAGTTTTCGTTGACAATGGAAAGGCGGAAACTCAATGCATAATGAGTTAGTGAGGAAACTTTACTGAAGTGACCCGTAAAATTTAATTTAATAATGGTTGTACAAATTATAAAACAGTTGACTTGTTTTTGTGCGGTAAAAAACATGCCTCGTGCGATCGAGCAACTTTCGTCATAGAATCTCATGCCATGAGAATTAATTTACTGTTATATACTGTGGAAAAATCTTCCATGATCTCTTCTCCCTCACGTAGAAAATCTGCATAGCGGTAAACCCCCGTTGAACCGAACCGTCAATCAAGCAGTGAACGATAAGAGAACAGAAAGTCAAAGAAAGAAAAAAAGGAGGAAGGAGAAATAATTAATGAAACGGAAGGAGACGAAAGGGGAAGGAGACAAGTATTACGGCCCCCATTAAATACACAGTTTGCAATTTCAAAGTTTTAAAATCATTTTATAATTTCTTCGAAATAATGCATATTGTATGAATTGACTGTAATCCCCTCATCCTTAACACATGACACATTTTTCTGTGGCTCTGCATCTCTGTGTGTCTGCGGCGGAAATCCGCGCCTCCAGAGCCTTCCGAGAGAGCCGTTGATAGCGCTGCCCACGGAACATTCCCTGCCTCCCTCCGAGCGCAATCGATACCCGCGGTCGACCAGAGGTCGCTCCCTGCGACACTACAATAAATCTTTCACGAGACTTGCAGTCTTCTTTACATATCACTCCTTTAAATAACGAGGGACTTCAGAAGAGCTTTATTTTCAAAGAGGAAAAGTTTAGTCCGGAGTTCATAATGCGAGGGGCATACTTCTGAAAAGGGAATAAGACTGTTATTCACATCTCAGATGTACGATTTTTATCTCAGGATTTCGTTTGGTTTTAAAATTTCTTATAAACTGCTGTAAATTCCACTCACAGCGTAGGCAATGGTCTACCTATATTCAAAGGAAAATATCTCTTTCGAATATTTTTTCACAGGAGAATTATAACATTAAAGTGATTCTCCGAGAAATGGTAATTTTAATTTGGAGGAAGACGTGCACTTGTACCAACGGGGAAACATTAGAGGAGTGATATGCATTTACTTCCTGATTTCAAGAGAATGTCAAAATATGAAGCTTTGTACATTTTTCAAATGTTGAGAATTCAGAGCAACATTCAGAAAATTGCGATATCTGAAAATAAGTACGTCTAGTGCATATTTGTTTAAAGGACATTGTTGACAATACTGTTATCACAAGATGAGTATTCATTTCAACAAAATTCCTACGAGGGATATATACGTCTACTTTGCTTGTAGATTGACGGACGGACGATTTGAAAAAACTTATTTTCGGTATCATGAGACCCCAAAAGGTTTTTTTAAAAATATCGGAATCGTTTTTTCTCAGCATTACTCATAAATAGCATTCCCTATACTGTGCGTATTATTCAGTGTATATATTATATTATTATTATTATTATTATTATTATTATTATTATAATTATTATTATTATTATTATTATTATAATTATTATTATTATTATTATTATTATTATTATAATTATTATTATTATTATTATTATTATTATAATTATTATTATTATTATTATTATTATTATTATCATCATCATCATCATTATCATTATTATCATTATTATTTTGATAGTTATCATTAATATTATTATTAGTCTGCATTAGCCTCTACAGACCACGCAACACATTTCTCTCTCCGAGGCCCAGTTGTATTCCATCCTGGAGAGATCAATGTGTGGAATTATGGGGATCAGCTTTTCGGCTGCATCCCTTGAGGAATGTGCGAGTGTGTGTGGGTCGTTCGCAGAGCCCCTTTGGGCGGCGCGAGGGTTGGGCGAAAATTGCGGGATCTGTCGTCGCCGTAAGTGAGTGCCCAGCGGGGCCTCCCGCCCCGTTTGCAGCACCGCCCCACAAAAACTGCGCTGTTTATTTCGCCATAACCTTTCTGTGCTGGTCGCGATTAACCTCCGTAACGGCGCCGCTTGCTTCCCGGCCGGCTTTCGGGCGACGGCTTAGAGGTGCTCCACGAGTCGGGCTGGCGCTCGCCAGGAGGTTTATAGCCAATGACGCAAGCGACTGAGCTCAGTAGAGCCTGCACCCGACAGAACATCTGTAAGATGAAATCGGACCATGCCGGATTTAAAAAAACCAACGAAACAATTTGACGCTTTAAAAATGATATCAACTTGGTGGAAAACTACTTAGGGTCGAGGAAAGGTAATAGTACGTTACATGGACAGGGAATAATTTTTACAAAACTAAGAGTGAATTTTATCGAAGAAAAATATTACCTTTATTTTCAACTACGTGAATAAACCTGCCAAAGCAGATATTCTGTGAAGAAATAAAGGAAAACACACGAAAGAAATAAATATTAATACTTGCTTATATGTTTATTACACCTATAATTAAATGAAAATTTGCACGAGAAATGAAATGCGTTTCTACTGAATGGCACATACTTTCTCGTGGTAATGAGTTTGCTTATCTCTTCAGTCTAGAGTACCTATTAGGTTTTACCACACCTCTTCTCAGTTGTCATCCACTT